TATAGATGTCATTGCTACTTATTACATTATTGATGATAAAAAGAATGAATAAGTGCACTCCACCATGTGCTGCCTTTTCACGACTTAGTAACTTTTTTAAAAAAGTTATATAAAATTTTATACTATCATATCACCTAAAAATATAATTTTACATAACCGACTATAGAAATGAGATTATATAATCTAGAAAATAAGGCACTTTACCTATTATAGTAGATTCAAATATACCGATAATTGTTAGTGTATTATAAGCTAAATCTTAGCTAGCGTTTGGTCATAAATTCTCAAATTTATTTTGAAAAATTCGATTTGGGTGAACTTTGATTTTGATTGAAAATGTGTTTGGACATACGTTTTCAAAACATATTTCCCAAATTTATTTTGGAAAAACATGTGTATTATTAGGGATTTGGCCCAAAACCACCTGGTTTTGGGATTTGGGACTTGAGATTTTGCCAAAATATAGGCAAAATCTATGGCCAAACATGTATTTACCAAATAAAACTTAAGTTTATTTCGGCAAAATCTATGGCCAGACGGTCCTTAGTTTATCTTTGACGTTGCTTTGAATTTTGTAAAGAACTTCACCCCCACTTTGCTTGAGTCCGGAACCCAATTGTGGTTCTTTTGGACTCAAAATACATAAATAGGTGGGGAAAAAAGGTGACATTTTTATGTATAGCGCCACAATACTTGGCGCTATACAGTAACGTTAACTGTGTCGTTACTGTATAGCATCAAGTATTGTGGCGCTATACTGAAAAAGCTGACACGCCCAGGTATAGCGCCACAATACCTGGCGCTATACATAAGTTTTATATATAGCGCCTGGTATTTTGGCGCTATACTCCTTTTTCCTGGCCCCACTAACAATTCCTGACTTCAATAATTCAAAAACATATAGTGCCAACTTTTTGGGCGCTATATATATATATATAAAAAAATTTGGCTAGCCATTTCATATATAAAGAGGTTAGGATTGTATAGAAATTCATTCAAAAAAAATTTTAACTCTTGTTGAAACGNCGTTCAGTGGTACTTAAAGTAACTGGAAGATATCCATATTCTGTCACTCCGCAAGGGGTTGCTTTTTACTCGGAGTTTAACATCGACGATGATGAAACTTTGAGTGATTTTCTGAAGACTCCGGACGAATGCCGGGAATTTCTTGTGATCACAATGTTGGAGATGTACGTGAAGGTTGAAGCCGTTCCAAAAAATGAGGTTGTGCGTAGTAGCGATAACCCCCAGTCATCGGGTGGTTATTCTGGAGCAGTTTTTGCCGGACAGGTTCCGGATGAGAGAGATTTCCTTGATTTAAACTTATCACCGCCGGCGAATGAGCAGCGAGAAAATAATTTATATCCTATTTTCCATAATTCACAAGACGAGTGGTAAACTTCAATTTTCATTTGTGTTAATTATGTATATTTTTGGCGTATTGAATTTGTATTAACGTTCATATATTTAATAGGGGGTACCGGTCAGATAAGAATTTTACAAGTGGCCCATCCGGTAGTCATCACCTAATTGAAAACGTCAATCATGGAATTTCATCATATTACGACTTGTAAGTGAAGTGATATAGCCATATGGAAAGCATTTATTAATTTAGTAGCTTATATTTTTGTTGGTTGTGCAGTGAAAACGAGCAAGTTGAACCACCTGTACTCACTCAATTGACCAAAAACGATGTATTACATCGGGATCTGGCAGATGCACAGAGTGAGGAACAGAACAGTGATTTCGATAATAATGCCGATGAATCCGGAGACGAGACACCCTTTTTCGTGAGGATGGTGATGAGCAGGATGAGGAAGAAGGACCTGATTTGAAGAGAGGCCCCTAGACGAAGAGTGTACGAGTCCGAAGTGTTGTTTCATTCAAGGGAGATTTCTTACATTGATAACTTGCCAACTGTGCTGGATGTGGAAGCTCTCATAAGGGATTTTGATGAAATCCGAACAGCAATGTGGGATGAGTCTAGACCAACGTTGCTTGTAAATGGGATGCTTTTTCCTGATAAAGCGCGCTTAAGCAGGGCTTGTAAAATGCACAATGTAAAAGAGTGTCGTGAGATGCAGGTATGGGAGTCAAGTCCGATGGTATACAAGGTTGTTTGCCGCAGGTGGTTTTGGCCATGTAATTGGATGTTGCGTGCGACCAAGAAGAAGACAGGTATGTGGAAAGTGGGTAAATACATTCCCACCCACACATGCGAAATGGACACATTCAACGGGAATCACTTCAACTTGGATATTGACTTGATTTCTCTTGTACTTATTCCGCACCTCGAAGCGTCCATAAGGTATACAATCAAAGAGTACATTACATCAATCTACCAGGAATACGGCCATACCATTACGAAAAGAAAGGCATTTCTTGGGCGCAAACGAGCGTTTGAAATTGTGTACGGTAATTGGGATAAGTCATTTGCATCTCTGCCAAAGTACATGGCCGCACTGCAGCACTTTAACCCCGGGACAATTATTGAATGGAAGCTTGAGCAGAGTTCAGGAACACCAGAATACATATTCAATTACGTGTTCTAGGCGTTTAAGCCAGCAATTGATGCTTTTTCGCATTGTCGGCCCGTAATATCCATAGACGGAACTCATGTCTATAGAAAGTACAATATTAAGCTACTGAAAGCTATGGAAATGGATGTTAATGGACAGATATTTCCTCTAGCTTTTGATGTTTGTGCCAATGAAAGTACAGAGACGTGGACGCTGTTTTTGAACCACCTGAAAGAGCACGTTGTCAAACAGCGTTCAGGTATTTGGCTAATATCTGATCGGCACGGTGGTATATTAAGTTATATGGAGAACTTGCATGCATGGCAAATACCTTATGCATACCATCATTACTATGTGAGGCACTTTAAGGCCAATTTCCAGAAGGCACATCCCAACAAGGATCTGCATGATTTGATGTGGATGGCAGCAACAGACCACCACCAGCATAAATTTCGGAGGCATATGGATTCTATCAGGCAAGAAAACGAGGCAGCCTATCGTTGGTTAATGCGACATGACCTTGAAAAGTGGACGTTGCATGCGGATGGTGGCAGACGATGGGGAATTCTTACTACAAACGTGTCAGAGTCCTTCAACAGGTTATTGAAGTCGGCAAGAGGATTTCCCGTCACAGCCATAGCGTGGATGTCGTTCAAGCAGATGGCGGAGAGGTTTGTTGAACGGTCTGCAACTACAACGGAATTGATGGAGAAGGGTGTTGAATTTATGACAGTGTCGATGCAGAGATTTGAGAAATACAGACGGCAAGCACATTGGCATTCATTTTTGCAGTATGATAACGAAAGAGGTATTTTTGAAGTTCGCACCGCTATCCATAATAATCGGGATAATAATGTACATACCCTAAATGAATCAGCAAGGTTATGCTCCTATGGAAAATGGTCTATCTACCACATGCCTTGCTCACATGCCATCAAGTGTTTTTAAGGTGTTGGTTATGCGGAGACCAACTATGTTGATCAACAATATAGTGTTTCCAAGTACCTAAACACATATAGTGGTCAGTTGCAGCCAGTGGGTGCTGAGCATTATTGGCCTCCGGAACCATTTAAAATGGTGTGTAACAAGTCCTATTTGC